AACAAAAATCAGCTTTGGAAAAGTCAACCTTTTTCTGTCTCCTGTCCTTCGGGTTCCCTTTAACGTTGACTTCCTTTTTATTCTACCTACCCTCGCCCTTTCTAGCTCTCTGGTCGTGGGAAAGATGAAAGGTGTGACCATACTGCTGCTGACGGGCGCGTGGCACGTTCAGAACATGCTTTAACGATGTGGCTTACCTCCTCTCGCCTAACTAGCAGAATACCGAGCAACCGTTTGAATGTTAATTTGGTAACAGCTTTGTTGCTTTAAAAATAAAAATCCTGTATAATGTTGAAAATGAGTAAAATTCCTCATGCTCTGGGTATACAGTGAACTGTACGAAGTGTAGGAAAAGAGCGGATAAATCCATCGGACAAAGGACCTCCCAGTTGCCTGGTACGGTGCGGTTTCTTCTACGTTTCATGCACATTTTGACTTGGTTACAGTCTCAAAATCGTGCTTGTAAAAATGTATAAAACTTTTTTTTTTTTTTTTTTTTTTTTAAATTTGTATGTATTTACCCATTTTATTTTCTTGCTGGTAAATGGCTTTTATTTTGTTCGAGGTTTTTTGTACCTAATGTCAAAGAAGCCACGTTTCTATTTTGTGTTTGACCAATGACTTTGTTGATCTGAGATCCGTGTGTTGTGGGGGCGCGGCTGACGGCGCGTGAAGACCTGCAAGAATTAGCACGAGGGACGATCGCTTTTTCTTCCTTCCACGTCCGTTCGTTTCGGAAAGGTCCCGGGGCGGAGGTGTCGGGGACGCGACCCAACGAACCATGGAGCGACGACGGATAACGGCACTTTGAGTGTTAATAAAACAAAATATTTATTTCCAGTGGCTGTCCCCTCGCTTGTTTGGTGACGGGTGTTCAAGGGAACAAACTGTTCAGGATGTCTTGTCCTGTGGCGCGATGCGCCGCGACACACCGCCACGCGCCGCCGTCCCCAGGCGGGACGAGGAAGGGCGCTGCTGGGCACGTGGGAGCCTTTTCCTTGGCCGCCGCCGGCGGTGACAGCCGTGTAACGGGGCACCGCGCTTGCTCGTGTGAGGCAGGTGCCAGAAACAACGCTCGTGTCTTGCGAAGGGATCCCAGCGGGGAGGAGAGGCGGTGGGCACAAACATACTGGTCCGGGCCCGCGCGCTCTGCTTGCAGCGGAGCAGGGAGGGAGCGCCACCTGCCCGGCGCCCTGCTCCTCCAGCCACACGAAGCAGCACAAACAGCTCTTACCGTACTTCTGGCACGGAACGCGCGCTCCCGTTTCTAGGTGCGGGTTGCGTACAAGACATACGGTATTCCCTGCGGGCGGGGGCAGTCGTGGGGCATCGCGGCTGCCGGGGGGCGGGGCGGGGCGGGG